ACAGATGTAAGATCGACTTGGGGTTGAGATGGTTCATGGTAATACCGTAGAAGTACAGCAAACCGCTGAAGAACTCGGAAGAAGGAAATCCCAAACCCCACTTGACAAAAGGCGTGAAAAGAATGATTTCACCTTTTTCGAGCATGGGGACGCGGTGATTCCCGGGTGCTCTCCACTCGCCAAGTTCCTTACTCGGCAAGACACCATCTTCATGCAATTTTTCCAAGCCCGCCTTAGTGGTTTTCGGCTCCTCTCAGATCTGGAGTTCCGCTTCCAGGAGATTCGTGGTGGATTGATCTTTCCTCCCACCTTTCATGGATCCACCTGATTGATTTGTCTTCTTGGCCTTCGTCATCGTGCGCACACTACCAATCATGCGTTTACTCGCATTCACAAGTTGAGTGAGCTAGGGTTTGGAATAGAGGGTGCAGGAAGGCAAGAACAGAGACGATGGCGGCTGCTGGAGAGATGGGACGCGCAACAAGCAGGGTGAAAATTATTTACACCCTGGGGCTATTTATATGTACGGCCCGGCCGTTCCCCTTCCCCAGAAAGCCAACGGTGTGAACACGCCATCGCCGTCAAATACAAAACTGTTACAGGCCAACGGACGGATACCTTTTCACCGAAGGGACGCCACGCGTAATGGTTCCGCGTGTCCCTTTGAACGGTCAGTTTCACTTGTCAATACAAAACTAGACGGCTCACGCTGTTTACCTGGATTTGGCAAACCGCGTCCTTTACATTTTCTCGGGTCAACAGTACAAGCTGCTCAGATATAGTTTTTTACTACGGGTTTTGGAAACAAAAGCATTTCCAAGATTTATTTATCATAATGAACACTACATGCCGGATTTTACAAGTGTTACAAGTACACGACCTAGTCAGCCACTGTAAGATACAAAAGCTACAGGTGCTACTCGGCCAAGCAACACCTGACTCAATGCACCTGGCTTCATGGATAGAATAGCAGTGCATCAAGGTCTGGGAGAGACAATGCAAAACTTCCGAGCCTAGAACTTTGGGTAGACTGAGGAACTGCGAACAATTCTCGTCGGCTATGTTACAGAATCAAGCCCGAGCAGCTGAAAACATGGCGGCTAGTATACAGGATGAGCTATTCGCACATGCTGCAAACTCGAGCTCGAAGAACTGACATGGGACTATGCCATCAACAATTTCCCATGTCACAAGACTTCTTAGCTGCAACTGAAGGCCACTCTGTTCTGCACTACTCTAAGACTAGTTTGACACTAGCTCATATCACAAGAATTCTTCTAGTTGCAAGGCAAGCTCTCTATTCCTTATGCCAACTACTCCGGGGGGCTCAGACATCTCGGCCACTATCATATTTGAAGATTGGAAGCTAAGTATTGCAAAGATGCAACTGTTGATGCATTTGACACAGCTCGCCAGGGGGGTATTTGTAGTGTGGTTTGCCCCTATCTTGGACCAGGTTTATGAATCCACTGTGGATCGAGATAAGGATGCCCGATAAGATTTCATACGCTGAGTCAGCTCTGAATAGCTTTGGTAGTGGCAAGGACAAGATTCTGTTTGTGCATGTGACTCAATAGAACACTGCAGGACAGCCAAGGACACAGTGGTTACTGCTACGCATGTGATTCTAGCATTTTGCTCGGGGGATTGTCCTCAACGATTCCCAAGTAACCTCTTTTTACCTACTGGTCCAGGATCATCATCTACAAAGGGCCAGGACACGGCATGTTTTGTTAAAACTTGTTTCGGTCATTTGTGAGCTTCGAGGTGGGGGTGATATGGGCTTTTCGGTGAGGAGACTACCCACCCGAAGCCTTGGGCTCACACTTGCCCTACTTGCATTTTAGATTGGATCATGGCCACATATTAAGCTGTCCGAGTTGCATTATTCCGACTAGTATGCTCGGGGGCTCGGATCCAAGCACTTAATCCACATATTAAGTAGTCGGTTTTAGGCTCGGGGCCTGCGGGATACATATCCTCAGTAGATGCCTTCAAATTTCTTTGACAAGGAATTGTAGACAAGACCCTCCAGCTCTTTATGCTAAACAGTAAGATGCTCGGGGGCTACACCCAGTGGGTGCACTTTACAAGAAAGTGCACGCCACTAGAAGATTCCAAGAAGCACTACATGGTTTCCCTCATGAAGGTACTCGGATGACACTAGATTCGACTCGGCAAGCTCCAAGAGACTCAAGACGACTTCTAAGATCAACCATACAGTGCTCGGGGGCTTGACGTACCAGGATCCTAGGGGTTCCCTACAGGGCCAACTACTCGTCATGGGCCTGGTTCGGCCCAAGGTCTACCTAGAAAACGTGGAACAAGGTGGCGTGATCTCCAAGGCATCAAGGACCGACCTAGTCGGATCACTAAAAAAGTTAGCTTCTGTAATAGAACTAGGACTCTTCTCTTGTAACCGGCTAATACTAGATTAATACGCCCTGCCCTCTGGACTATATAAAGAGAGGCAGGCGTGCACCCCTTATACACACAATCAATCATACCAACCCAACGCAAAGGCACCACGCCTAACTGGACTAGGGTATTACGCTATTCAGCGGCCTGAACCAGTATAAATCGTTGTCTTCACGTTCACCGCTGAGTTCTGCATATGCCGAAGCCCACCAAACACTATCCCGAGTAACCCCATGACGTGTTGCCGGTCATCAAACACTGACAGTTATTGCAAAAGGTTAATATCAAAAGGCCAACGACCAAAATCCAAAAAGGTAGAAAGACATCTTTGAGCCAAAGGCCCAAAAACTGCAGCTCAAACAAAGAAGCCTTTTAGGCCAATCCCAGTGGAGGTTTCATGTCCTAGTTTCTAAGTCTCACATGTTTTGGAAACAATGTAGACTAGTTTCATCTCCATGAAACTCATTTCACCCATGAAACTTTGATGATATCTCTCTTCATTGATGCAGTGCCATTATTGTCATGTCATTATATTTTCTAAGTTGGTAGCTTATTAATACACATAAAACTTTCATGAAACCTAGCGAGACAAGCCTTACAAGCTGTTTTCTTAAGAGACCTCCAGTAATTAGCCGAAGGCACCCCACACTACATGCCTCTGTAAAATTTAGCAATGGTTGTAGTGTTTTTTTTAAGATTTAGGAATAAAGAGTAGGCCTCCCACATCCATGCACGAATGAGTATAGCCGTTTGTTACAAACCAAAGGGACTTAGACCAATAACTACTAGACAGAACAGAAAAGGTTCAAACAATACAACTAAGAACCGCAACAAAATCAAAGTAGAACTTAGTTCTCAATCCTTCTTTGGCGATTCCAACCCATCTTCCCAAAGACTTCTATCACCATAAATTGTAAGCGCCTACATCCTTCTTTCAGACTTACTCTCTCTTCCTCTTTAGATAACTGAGACCAAAACCTGATCCAGTATATCCCCCTAAAAATTACCTACACGAAAGAATTAGTAATTGCTCTGTTAAACACATACTCAACCACAAGTCCCAACACATCGCTGCCACTCCCACTAAGACCTGGCCCCAAAGACCTGGAGGAAAACTCTTTAACCAGGAACCAAACAAGTGGACAAAATCATATGGTGGTTGAACATTAAAAGTGATGGACATAGCATTCCACAAAAAATCTTGCATTATGCCGATCAAATAAAAAAGATATGTTGCACTGTTTCCTCTAACCCACAAAACACACTTATTGTCTCCCTTCTAGCTCATAGGCCTGGGCATTCGGTCTGACTGAACCGAACTAATCGGTTCTTCAGTCATTTCGAAAGTTTCAGTCATCTAAAAACAGAGACCAATTGGTTAGTTTTAGAACTCAAGATTGAACAAGTTCAGTTTCGGTTAGTTCGGTTTGGTCTCGATCAAGACCGAACTAACCGGACTAGACAAAACAGCTACTAAATAGTATAATTTGTAGAAAATTTTAGCAATATTTTTCTATTTTAAGGGAAAAATAACAATACAACATATAGATTAAACAAAGTGATAAGAGTGATGGTTGACATAAACCCACTAGAATAAATATTATATAACTAATAATAGTCTAAAGTACATATTATGTCAACAAAGTCCAAATATTCGGTTAGTTCGGTTACCCGAGGCATATAACTGAACTAACCCTAAAAAGTTCGGGTAGTATGAACTCGGAACCGAACTAGTGACCGAAAACTTCGGTCTCGGTCTTGGTTAGTTCAGTTCGGTCTTCGGTCTTTGGACCAGCTCCTCTTTTTCAAGTTGTCTTTGGTTAGAAGTACCCCTCTCTTGAAGTACCAAAGGAAAAATTTTCTTTGTTGGCAGCTTGGCCTTCCAGAACATGAATTTATGGTGATCAACTTGTAGTGTTTACAGTAATCAACTTGCAGTGTTAAACAATGTGCACACATCAATTCTAGTATTGACTATTCCATCAACCTTGAAAAAGAGTCTTTGGAAAGGCCAAGCTGATTGATGTGTAGCAGTACCAAAGAAAAAATTATGGTTGTAGTGTAGGTTGATGGAATAGTTAATACTAGAATTGATGTGTGCACATTATTTAACAGTAATCAACTTGTGCATGACCAACTAGTTGTTTGATCTGTTTCAACCAATTGATGGATGGCAAAGTGGAGGGGCTAATATCATTGATATTTTACATGAAACGAACATGGCAGGTATCTTATCATAATGACATTTTGACTACTTTGTGCTTTCCATGAAAGAGATATCCTGTACAACTATCAGCTAGGGCGTCTAGAATTATTCCTTCTTCTAAAAAAATCAGCTAGGGGCGAGGAATTTGAAGGCCAACAAACATTTTGGGAATTAAAAAAAAAGAACACACCCCTACCTGTTTTTCATTGCTAGCCAGGAACTGGTTTCTAACGTTAGTTCATCATATATCTTTCATCCAGGTACCGTGAGTTGTAGCATAAGCATGGATATGGAGAGGTGCACACGAGAGCTACCCTGAGTTGACAGCCGCTGATGAACCAGTGGCTTGAAGTTGAAGGGAGGGGTGGTTGCTGCCATGGTGGGCAGTCTGCTGGGCGCTGTGACGAGCAACGTGGTGTCGGTGGTCATCAAGCTTATAGGTAAGCGCTATGATCTTTGGTCGGAATTCGATAATGACATTGAATCCATCAGGAGAGACCTTCTCATGATCGCCGGAGATGAGGAGGACCAGCTTTCGGAAGAGGTCGATTTGAGTGCCGTGATGGGTAAATACCGGGAAGAGATGCATGATCTAGCACTCGAAATCGAGGACTTCCTCGATCGGATCCTGCGGCACGTTGTTGAAAAAAATGGCAGCCCACTCCATAAGGCCCTCGGATTCACCACCGAGCCACTCTTAGATGCCAAGGTAAAAAAACTCAAGGAGAGGCTGAAGGATGCAAAACAGCGGAGAAGCGACCACGACAAGGACATCAATGGCCGCCAATTCTCCCACTCCTCGACGCCCCCAGCGAACACTTCCACAACAAAGATCGAACCTGTGGGCATCGACGAGTCCAAGCAAGAGATTTGCGAGTGGGCGACCAAGGATGTGGAGGGCGAGACGGAGCAGCTGAGCGTGATCTCCATCGTCGGGTTCAGTGGATCTGGAAAGTCCACGCTCGCGAAGGCAGTATATGATTGCCCCGATGTCACCCTCAAATTCCGTCACCGAGCCTGGATTGTGGCGTCGAAGCACTGGTGTGATGCCAAGGGACTCCTCATGGAGTTACTTCAGAAACTTGGCCAGGGAGACAAGATCTCTGACTTATACGTTGAACAGCTCCAGGCCAAGATCTCAGAGTATCTGAAGGGAACTAAGAGGTAATGATTTTGTTCTCCATTTAGCTTTATTCCATTTATTTTTATGGGAGCAAGGAGCATAGGCTTAGCAAAGAAGTGACCCTGCATTTGTTCTGTGTTAAAGAAGAGCTTGGATACAATATTTCTACTTTTTTCTGAGGACCCTACGATTTATTGACAAAAAAGTGGAGCAGTTGTCTCTATTATTTTTTACTCCACTCTTTGTGTATATAAATCAATGATATATAAGACAGTGGCCTTTAGGGTGCCTAATAAACAAAAGAAAATATTTAATCTGCCACTGTGTGAAACAGATAGAATTACAATGGTGTATGTGCTTCCTTCAAGCTCACCATTATTAGTGGCTAATGTACCAAATTGACCCCTCATTCTAGTGAATGATAACTGTACTAACATTTCATTTTATCAATCAATCTGCTAGGTACCTTATTGTACTTGATGACATCAAGAATCAAACATGGTGGGACGGTATCAAATCTGCCTTCCCTGAAAAGGCAACAGGAAGAATAATTGTGACAACAACAATTCAGAGAGTAGCTAAAGTGTGCAGCCGTGGGAACGGTTATGTGCACAATATGGAAGCTCTAGGTAACAATGTTAGAATCATAGGTGTGTACCTTTTTGTGTAACCCGTAGATCGGGGTAGACCTCTCCTTTAGGGCTTCTCTACTCGCCCTGGCTCAGTAGCACCGCAGCAACGTAGGACGCCGGTACCGCGGCGTTGTAGGCATCGTGGTGGCGATGCCGCGAAGTCCAGTGGCTCTGTGGAGACCCTGTAGAGGCGACGGTGTCATCGGTGGGCTCATCCCGTCGCTGGCAGCACCTCTTTGGATCGGATTAGGGTTTCTCTGTAGGTGCGATGGCGGCTCCGTTGAACCTCACGACTCGAGCCGTGATCCCCACCTCTCTTTTATATGTGCTGTGCGACAGGGGTCCACCAACCATATTAGGGTTGGGCTCCCCCGATCAGGGAGCAGAGACAAGGGCTCAATAGGCCGTTGGGCCTATTGGTGGAGATCAACTAACATTCTCCCCCTTGATCTCATTCCATCTTTCACTTTCATATCATTTACTTTTGTTCATTCCATTACAGATTAGCTCATAGAGCACGTCTCATCGTCACGGTCCATTGCCGATAGACTTAACAGCTACAACTCACTACTCTGTTCTGAAATAGATACTTATCTCTGGGCCTTCTTTTGTCCAGGAATTTTAGGCTTTTCCTCAAACCCATGCTAGCTACATGTTCTCTGAACACCATGTTCTCTGAACATGTTGGGTGGTAAACCTTTTATAAGTGGATCCGCGAGCATCTTTTCTGTACTTATATGCTCAAGACTTATGACTTGATCCCGGACTTTATCTTTCACAACATAATACTCTATGTCAATGTGTTTGGCAGCACCACTTAACTTATGTTGTCAGCATACTGTACTGCCAGATTATAATCGCAGTATAACTTTAAGTGGTCTATAGATGTCGTCAATCACCTTCAAACCGGATATGAACTTCTTTAGTCAGTTCACCTGCCCGTTGCCTCATAACACTCTACGAACCATCATACATTGTGGACGATGTAGTGACAGCTTGCTTTGAGCTTTTCCATGAAATAGCTCCCCTTTGCGAGATGATAGAAAATCCACGTCTGAATATGTATTCACTCTCGCATAATCAGAATCTGAATATCCCACTATGTGGAATGAATCAGATCTTCTATATGTCATCATGAGGCCTTTCGTTCCTTGCAAATAATGCAAGACTTTCTTTACTAATTTTAGTCTTCTATTCCAGAATTGCTCTGGAATCTGTCAAGTAAAACCCGATAACAAATGCCAAGTCAGGGCGCATACATACTTGAGCATGTAGCAAGCTTCCGACAGCTGAAGCATATGAAACCACTTTTATTTTATCGATTGAGCTCATATTGGTTCCTAGGGCATTGAAAATCCCTATATCTGTCGCCCTTGACTATAGGAGCAGGTGAGGGACTACATTTGTACATACTGAATTTCTTTAAGATCTTTTCTAACTATGCCTTTTGTGACAGTCCTTATACATCTTTTCTTCTATCTCGGTGAATCTCGATCCCTAGAATGAACGAGGCTTCATCAAGATCTTTCATATCAAATTTCTTTGTCTCCAGTAGTAGATTGACATCACTACTAGCAAGTAAGATATCATCTACATACAGGACAAGGAAGATAAACTTCCCATTCTTAAACTTTGTACATACACAATTGTCCTCTACATTCTCTTTAAACCCAAAATTCTTTATTGTCTGATCAAACTTTAAGTACCACTGTCTTGAAGCTTGTTTTAATTCATAAATGAATTTCTTTAGGCGGCATCTGATTCGTTCTTTTCCTTCCATGACAAAACCTTTCGGTTGTGCCATGTAAACATTTTCCTCCAAGTCTCTATTGAGAAATGCCGTCTTTACATCCATATGATGTAATTCTTAATCGTAATGTGCCACTAATGCCATTATGATTCTGAGAAAACTTTACATGAGACTGGAGAAAAGGTCTCATTGTAATCAATCCCTTCTCTTTGCATATAGCCTTTTGCCACAAGTCGCGCTTTATATTTCTCTACATTCCCTTGAGAGTCAAGTTTTGTTTTGTAGACCCATTTACAGCCTACTGTTTTGGCTCTTTTAGAAATTATTTCCAAATCTCAAACTTTATTGGCATTCATCGATTTCATTTCATCTTCCATGGTCTCAAGCCACTTTGATGAATGATCACTTCTCATGGCTTCTTCAAATGAGGTGGGATCATCCTCCATTTGAAATTTCTTAGTGTTGTACACTTCATAATCAGCAAGAATAGCTGATTTTCTAACTCTTTGAGACCTTCTAGGGGGGCTTCACATTTGGCACATCTTCTGTTTGAGGTTGCTGTTGCTCCCCCTCATGTGTGGCAATAGGTTCTATAGGATTCTGAAGAACAGGTTCCTCATTTTCATTCGTTGTTGCCACAGTTAGAATAACAACACGTGCTGACACCATAGTATCTTGCACTGTCGGTGCAGCGACAACAGGTAGTAAAAAAATTGGCTCATGAATCATTGGAGTGGGCACATACACCTGCTTCTTTTCAAGGTCAATTTCTCGATCTACCATGCTCCCCCTTATCAATTCATCCTCTAGGAAGACAGCGTGTCTCATTTTCACAAACTTTGTCAGTTCCTCTGGACAGTAGAAACGAAAACATTTTGACTTTTCTAGGTAGCCAAACAAATGGCAACTTACTATTTTGGGATCTAACTTCCCAATGTTTGAGTTAAATACTTTAGCCTCGGCAGAGCTCCCCCCCCACACAAGTGGTTTAGTGAGGGTACTCTTTATGTCCACAACTCATACAGTGTTTTGGGCACCGACTTTCTTGATACTCTATTGAGAATATGAATGGCGGTTTTTAACGCCTCCATCCACAAGCTTAACTGTAAGGTGGAGTAACTTATCATACTGCCCACCATATCCATCAGGGTACGATTGATTCTTTTAGCTACTCTATTCTGCTGAGGTTCGCCCGGTGTAGAATATAGGGCTACTATGCCATTCTTTTAGGGTATGCCGACCGTAGTACTCCCCCACGGTTAGACCTGACTATCTTAATCTTTAATATCTTAAATTTATCCAATACATCTTTTCTTTCTTTGATTAGATAAATATAGCCATAATGTGAGTAATCATCTGTGAATGTTATGAACGGATCATAACCATCCACATTCTTTACAGAAAAGTTGACCACAGTTAAGCCTGTGTAAATAATCTATAAAATTCATGTGCTTTGTTTGTCATCTTTCTTTACATACTTTCCTTTTATGCATTCTCTGCGTTGTTCTTAATCTGAGGGCTCTAATGGAGGAAGAATATCTTCTTAACTTATCTTTCTATTCTCCCCCTCGAAATATGGCATAAACGACAGTGCCATAATTTCGACAACGCATCGTGAGCTCTCTTATGCCACCACTTCCAGATTAACACTCTGTCACCAGCTGCTTCATCAGCTGAGTGGCATATATCTTTGAAGAGCCAGTGAACTGACTCTTTATATGTCTTTGAAGAGCCAGTGAACTGACTCTTTATTCTATCGAGGTACTCGGTGATCGTGTCACATTCTGGGATTGAGCCCACAATTGCAGGTTCAATCATGTTCTTTATCACAGCTAAATATTTCTTGTTGACAGTGACCCACTTCCTATGCTCAAAAGTCATAGGACATCTTTTGGGATTCAAAATCCCTTTCTTTAGTTGCCCAAGTGGCATCATTCTCTTGTCTCCCTCACTGGTGCCACAAACTCAATGGAACACGATGAGGTGACTACCCAGTTCACCTTAGACAAGATGAAAAACAGGTCAAAACTTTTCTTAACATAAAAGATAACACCATTTGAATGCCTTGATTCCAACATTGGTCAAAATCAAAACATACAATTATTCTTATACACTAATTCTACATCACCGTTGGGCAGAAATAGAATTAATGCATAAATCTTTAACTTTTACAACTGTTCTTACACACTAATTCTACATCACCGTTGGGCAGAAATAGAATTAATGCAAAAATCATTAAAATTAACATATGTTCTTATACACTAATTCTACATCACCGTTGGGCAGAAAAAGAATTAATGCATAAATCATTAAAATTACGATATTGTTATTAACAACGTTGGTCAGAAAATAACAACATCATAATCATGTCAAATCTCTTTTTCTCCAATTAAATACCACATTGGTTCAAAATAACCGGGGAATCAACATTTTCTTTAACAGCAGAAAAAAATCTCTTTTTCTCCAATTAAATATCACTTTGATACAAATTAACTGGAGAATAATCAATTTCTTTGGCTGTGGAAAAACTCTCTTTTTCTTGAATTTTACCCACAGAGAAAATTGCTTTTTCTATTTTCTTTAATCTATTAATCAATTTCCAGGAAATAAACATTTACTGGAAAAACTTTGAGAATATACTTTTTCTTTAGCAGCGGAAAACGTATACTCAATTTCTTGAATTTTACCCATAGGTAAAATACCTTTTTCTATTTTTCTTTTTGATTTTTCTTTTCAGCCAATTTGCATTTTCAATTTTCCAGAAAAAGAAAAAACGAAACTGGGCTCTTGCTATTCCTGTGTCGGCCCAAGCAGGTCAAAACCGACTCGGCCCATCTGTCCGCGCGCGCAGGCCGCACCCAGGCCGCAACCTGGGCCTAGGCCGACAAAGTGCCGCGGCGCGCTCGCGCCCGCCTGGGCCGGCGACGGGCCGATTTGATCTGCGCTGTTGATTTCGATCCGACGGCCGGGCGCTCGTTTCGGGCGGTATAAAAACCCGCCGACGCCGGCCTCCTCAGAAACCCTAGCTCACTTTCTTCGCCGCTCTCTCTCTCTTCGTTCTCTCTCTGTCGCCGCTCTCTTCTCAGCGCAGCGCAAAACCGAGAGGACACCGAGCGAGAGCGAGCAAGGCGGTGGAGCGACCATGGCGCCGTCGTCGGCCCCCTCGCCGGCGCGCGTGCTCCCCAACGGGTGAGCACGCCGCCGTCGAGTGGCCTGGCCGCGGCGCTTCCTTGGCCGAGCCCGACGAGCCAGCTCCCCCGGCTCGGCTTCTTCTCCCGCGCCGGCGAAGGGACATCCCGACGCACGGCGAGGTAGATCCACCCCTTCCCCCTTCGGATTTGTATCTCCTTTTCTCTTATCCGAACAAGGGTTTAGATCTAGGGTTCGGAATCCGACCTTCCCCTTCTCTGATTTGCTTTTGAATCTCGAGATCGAGATGCTAGGGTTCCTTTTCTTCTTCCCCTTCGGATTTGCTTTTGGATCTTTCTTTCCATTTTGGAGTTCATCCGAAATGGGGATCTAGGGATAGGGATTCGTTTTCTTTTAATTTCTTTTCTTTTCGGAGTTCATCCGAATCTCTTCCCTTCCCCTTCTTCCCCCTTCCCCTTCTTCTTTTGGGATTAACCCGATTTGGGATGGGGTTACAAATTAGGGTTAGGGTTTCAGTTGAACCTTTTCTTTTGATTCGTCCGTCCTTGCTTTTCTTTCTTGGGTTAGGTCTTAGGGTTCGGCCAAATCCGAACCCAATCTTCTTCTTTCTCACGCGAGTTAGGGTTAGATTTGGGAAGAACCATCTTTCTTGTCAGATCCGAACTGGATTTGATCTTTTCTGTTCTTTGCCGTGCGCCGTCGAACGGTGCGGCTTCTTTCCCCCCACGCGGTGGCGGTGGTGACCGGTAGACAGTGACGTCCGCCACCCCGGTCTCTCTTTCTTTCTTCTTTTACCCGGTTAATGTTAGGGTTACACAGAGGCAACCTATCTCTGATACCATTGTTAGAATCATAGGTGTGTACCTTTCTGTGTAACCCGTAGATCGGGGTAGACCTCTCCTTTAGGGCTTCTGTACTCGCCCTGGCTCAGTAGCACCGCAGCAACGTAGGACGCCGGTACCGCGGCGTTGTAGGCATCGTGGTGGCGATGCCGCGAAGTCCAGTGGCTCTGTGGAGACTCCGCAGAGGCGACGGTGTCGTCGGTGGGCTCATCCCGTTGCTGGCAGCACCTCTTTGGATCAGATTAGGGTTTCTCTGTAGGTGGGATGGCGGCTCCGTTGAACCTCATGACTCGAGCCGTGATCCCCACCTCTCTTTTATATGTGCTGTGCGACAGGGGCCCACCAACCATATTAGGGTTGGGCTCCCCTGATCAGGGAGCAGAGACAAGGGCCCAATAGGCCGTTGGGCCTATTGGTGGAGATCAACTAACAAACAAGCATTCCAAGGAGTTGCTGAAAGCTGTATTGAAGGGGCATTCGCCTGATTTGGAGAGGAGCTCAACGTCAATCATGAATAAATGTGATGGCCACCCCCATGCTCTTCTTACCTTGGCAAATTATTTGCAGAGTGAAGATAGGATCACCAAATCAGTCTGTGAGAAACTCTGCAGCAACCTAGGCTTTCGTATGGCAACGGACGATGCCTTCGTGGACCTGCAAAAGGTTCTTATGAGTACCTACAGATGCCTGCCAAAAGGTTTTCTCAATATCAAGACCTGATTACTCTATGTTTGTGTGTTCCCAAATGGTTGTCACATCAGCAGGAGCAGATTGATAAGGCGATGGTCGGCTGAAGGATATGTGAAGCATGATCATTCACGCAGCACTCTAGTTGTTGCAGAAGATAACTTCAAGAAACTAGTTGACCAGAGTACCATTTGGCCAATTGATACAAGCAAGAATGCAAATGTGAAGACTTGCAGAGCTCATAGCATCTTCCACGAGTTCCTGCTGTACATGTCCATGTCTTCTAAGTTCATTACATCTTTCAACAACGAAGAGAGAAAAGACTACCGCCACCTCTTTATTCAGAACACACCAAACAGCAAGTATGGGGATGATGAAGAGAAATCCCGTGCCCATTCTCTGACGATCTATGGAAGTGCAGGTGAAGCTGCTGGGTATTTTGCCAAGTATCAGCTGCTGAGAGTCTTGGATTTGGAAGAATGCAAGGATTTGGAGGACAAACATCTTGATGGCATACACAAGCTATGGTATCTGAAATACTTGAGTGTCGGGGACAAAATAAGCAGACTGCCGAAGCATATTGAGAAATTACATTGCTTAGAGACCCTCGACATGAGGAAGACAAAGAAAGTTATCATATTACCCGTGGAAGTCATCAAGCTGCCCCACCTAGCTCATCTGTTGGGAAGGTTCAAGCTTGATAAGAGGGACTGGGACAAAAGTGAACCACAAAAGTATGTGCCTGAAAAAAGCAATCTGCAAACGCTAGCAGGATTTGTCACAGACAATAACTCTGGGTTTTCAAAGTTAATGCTTTATATGAAGATATTGAAAAAGGTTAAGATATGCTGCAACTCGACAACTGATGAGGGCCTTGATGGCCTTTTAGTGGCTATTGAAAACTTCGTGCAGGCTGACTTGGACACAGGTGTTTGTGTTCGTTCTCTGTCATTAGATATTGGGAATTTTTCAGTAAGGATCCTGCGTTCTCTAGCATATGGTAACCTCAGGTCCCTGAAACTACATGGAGAGCTGAGGGGCCGGGACTGGTTCAGTTTACTACGGTGTTGTGGAGTCTCAGGGAGTTGTGCCTTTCGTCGACTAATGATCTGACGGAAAAAGACCTATCAGACCTGGGCAAGCTCAGTGATTTGGAGTCCCTCAGATTGGATGGAGTCAGTCTTGAAGGCTTCGTCATCACAAGTGAGGATTTTCCAGAACTGCTATGCCTATGTCTTGTGCAATGTCCAAGCCTCCCCAAGACTGAAGAAGGAGCTTTGCCCGATCTCCCTCTCACTTCGGCTTCTCAATCATGGTTTAGATGGGCTATCTGGCATCGAAATCAAATGGCACAAAATTCTCCAGGAAATTGCACTTGACTCTGAGGTTAAGCAGGAAACAAAAACTGATTGGGAAGATTCAGCTAAGAAGCATCCAAAGAGACCAAGAGTTTTGTATCTGAAAAGTGTTGATCTGAATGGCACGGGGTCTATGGTGAAATATGTTGCCACGGAGAGAACAGTACCGGGACTGGCTCCTGCACCATGCGAGGGAAACGTTCGGTCTCAAGGGTCGAATCAAATTCAGTTGACAAACCCAGTTCTTCTAATTCGAAGCATGTAAAACAAGAAGACGACAATTCTTTGAAAGAAGCAATAGTTGCAAACCCCTCTCCAGCGTCCACCGAGCTCTGCAGTGCTGCGATGGAGATGGAGATTGACATGCCACCTTCTTCAAGGGTGGTGTCCTGATCATGGCTAGCAGCACTCTGGTCAGTTCATCTATAACTGATGCAGTTTATTAGTGTCACAGTACTTTATCAATACGTGGCTAAAAACTTTAAGAGACATACCATTAGAAGTTCGTTATTACTATATTCTTACTGTTACTAGTTAGAGGCACTACGTTAAACCTCTAATGCTTATTATACCTTTTATTCAAAATACTTCTTTCAGATTTTATCAAAACAGAGACATTTTTAGGCAGTAGAGTACACTCTTAATTAATTATTATTAGTGTTACTAGTTGATGGCCAAATCTTTCTGATATTTTGAGAATTTCTAAAATTCACTGTTGTCCAAAACATCTCATATGGATTAACTTGAGCCTCTTTTATAGTGTCCAATTAGTACTAGTACTAGTAAGATAAGATCACTGTGTATCAATCTTCACCCCCTTTGCATAAATATCTGTGACAGTGCTGCATCCCCTAGTTTCTATTCACAAACCAAATCTGGTTGAGGCTCTTGCCTAAAACTTCCACAAAAAAAAAGGCAATTTGTTGGTCTTCCTCATGTCGTAGTTATTTTCGGTTAGCAGAAGGACATTTATTTACCATTCACCTCTAACAGTTACATCCGAATGTTGAGAACTGATATAGTGATGTCCATTTAAACTCTGCAGCATAAATGATCAAGTTTCGGAGAGCATCTCGTGAAGCAAAGTTTCTGGTTCGACGGCCATTCGTTGCTGCTTTACCTCGTTTCAGAGCAGCAGTGTATGTATGCCATACGCAGCCTGTTCGGGAGGCCGTATCGTATCGTGGATTATTTACTGCCGACTGATTTGGTGTGAGAGAAAAACACTGTTTCCGGCTGGAAATTTACGATCGTTTACGAGCAAACGAACAGGCTTTGCTGCTCTGTTTGCTATTTATGTGTGGTTATATTATGAGGTTTGTTGAACCGTTATATGTACCATCTAAAAAATAAGTCCATCAGAACACGCAGATGGTAGTCATGTTCCATTTCAGTTTCAGCCTTGTCGATTCAGTGTTTCACTTGTTTGTAAAAGACGATGTTCCTGCTTGGCTGCTTCCTGTACTCGTACCGTATTCTGCACTTGAGGCACCTACATAAACTTGATCCTTTATGTACTATTCAGCTTGGACCACATGCTAATCTACAAATATTTCATGAACTGGAGTTTGATGCCATTCTCTGCTGTCTGCTCCGTGCGTGACACGGATTCTGTCTGTGCTCTTCCCGTTGCTGGCAACAGATGTATGTGATCATTGGTACCTTGGTTACGAAACAGAGAGCCAAAATGTTGGCAATTGGCTGCTGTACATCAGGACGCTCCATCCATTTGACTGAATGTTGAGCACGGGCTGCGTAGTTTCACTTTCTGCGATGTACTGTAGCCAGTAGCAGGCCGAAATGTTGTTGTTTGCAGTAGTGTTTCTGTTTCCTGCAGAAAAACAGGCACGCTCTATTCTCTGCGCTCGCCGATCCGCGCTTGGGATGGCAGGGCAAGCGCGTCGGAAGGCAGAGGCAGTGCGTGGCCGACAGGCGGGCCTGGAGTGTGGAGGTGAACGTGTCAGCTGTGGAGTGGCGCGCTGGCATGTCCACGCGGCGCCGACAGGAAGTGGAGATCGAAGGCAATGGACGCCACCGCTGGCTGTGGAGGATCTGCGACGGCGATGCCCCAGGCTGGTGGTGACCGCTGCCGAATTCATTTCTGTTGCACTTCTGCAGCCCAATGAAAACGAGAGGGTCCATCACGTTCAGTGTTTACAAAACGGGTAGCCCAAGCTGCACTGAAATGGGCAGGGCTGATAGAAATGTGTCCGAGGCCGGGCCCTAGCATGCAAGCGAAGTGCACAAGCATCGATGCTAGCTATGGTACTGACTTCATCCACTCAAAAAAAAAAAAGCTATGGTACTGACTTCAGCGAAATGCCTGGGCACGTGAACTGCATAAAGTGCTTTATGTGTTCTTTTCTTTATTTTTGGTCCTCCTTTGCTCTGTCATTGTGACTATTTCAGTGTTTTCAGAATTCCCATTGGCGACTGCTTATCAAACTTTAATAACCACCCTCAGCATTGCCATTGTCCTCGATTAGTGTACACCGACGAACTGTCTCTTATATCAATGAAAGATTGTTTGCGAGGCGTGACAAATCTGGTTATCTGATTCAGCCGCAGAATGTATGTTGTCTGCCTTTTGTCACTGTTCCTTCGGATCCGGGGCCCATTAGCTCTAGCAGAAACAAGAAGTCGGCATTGAAGCAGCCCGTACGCGGAAACGAGGACTCGGCACCAAGCAATAGGCCAGAAGCTGCTGGACCTCACGACCGGCCCAAGAGCTGCAAGCCCGGCCCAAATGGAACCAGAAGCCCAAATACTGGATTCTGGGTCCAGATTCAGACTGGGCAATCGGTTTAAACCAATACTTCGGTTCGGTTTGTTTGGTTTGGCAAAATTTCGGTTCTCAAGAATCCAAAACCGATCGGTTCTCCTAAGAACAGGAAACCGACGAATTCAGTGTCGGTTTTCTACATCGGTTTTTCGGTTTAAAACGCGTACTAACCGAATCTCGTTGGTTGCGCCGCCGCCCGCCGCTGCGAGCCGCTTCGATGCGGCGCTGCTAGCTGCTCGGTGCCTCTCAGGGCAGCTTCGCCGCTGCGTTCGCGCCCGCCGCCAAGACGACGCAGCTGCCGCGCGCCGCGCGCTGCTCGTCTGCTGTCGCGTCGCTAGTAGCCGCCGCCGCTACGCGTGCCCCTGCTCGCGTTGTCGCGGGGTCACGGCTGCTCCGCGGCGCCTGCTCGCGCCGCCGCCAGGAGGATAGGAAGCATCGGTTGCTAGGGTTTGTGACTTGGACGGGAGAAGAACGACCTAGCGAGAGTGGGCCGTGGAGGATGGGGTTGTTCTCAACTTCTCTTCTCAGGGACGCATGCGGTAAGCTGGGCCATGGGTTGGGCTAGGTCGCTAGGATACGTGGGAGCCTAGGGAGGGGTGGCGTGTTCACGTGTACTGACGCCTGGACGCTTTGGGATTTAGGTTTCACGGTGTTACGGTTCGGTTCCACCTGGAAACCGAAGCCGAAACCGACATTTCGTTTCGTTTCGGTTCGGTTCGGTTTTCGGTCTTCGGTTAAAATGTGCCCACCCTGAGTCTAGATTGACGAGTGTAGCGTGAACTTTCTTTTTCATGTTGTGATGAACCCGAGAGAGGGGGAGAGAACAGGATAACCTGAGGCCTGGCTTGGAATGGAGAAATTTCAAAGAAATGCTAAATCTCCTCATTTTGCTGACGTCACTGTGCCTCTGGTTCCATTTGGGACACCCCTTAAATACTTTCCTGTGCCCTTTCGCTCAGCTCTCCCTCTCCAAAATAATTCACTTCCCATGGTCCCCGATTCCAAACGGGGCCTCGGCCTACGAGTGGGCAGAAAGCCACTCACGCGCTCAACGCCACTGAAGATCATATCATGGCCTCTCATGTCCAGCACAGTAACCGCCGCGCGTGGATTGTCGAGATTCTGCGACGGCGTGCAGGGGCCAGGGGATACGCCCCCACGCGCGTGGCTTGTGACCGCTGTCGGGAGCGGATGGGCTGGGCCGAATTTTGCTCTTGTGCTTCTCCGGCCCCAACAACACGAGAGGGTTTGCTAAAAAAATAAAGACAAAAACAAAACGAGAGGGTCCATAACCTTCGGTGTTTATACGAAACCAAGCTGCATTGAAATATAGGCCCATTCCAACTCCAAAATCCAACTGTCTCGACCGTAAGCCCCCTTTTAGCATCTCTCTCTCTCTCTCTCTCTCTCTCTCTTATCTTCCTTCTTCTTCTTCTTTTTTAATCTTGAATTCTTGATGTTTGCGTGTCCTTCTTCTTGCGAAAAAAAAGCCCAAAGCTCGATTGCATGAATGACACAAGGCCCACACGGTGACATATAGCGATTCGTCTTCTTCCTGCTCTTGTCTACTAGACGACAGAGGGTTTGAGATCGAACTTTGTTCCACCATTTGCATGATCCATGGCGAACCAGTAGATGAGGCGTGGTGCCGGCGATATATATATGTGATTCAGCGTGACGATCCTTTTGGAAATCAGGATACAAGCAATTTATATAGTAGGGAAAAGTTGCTGACGTCAAGGCTGACGGTTCGAGGCCCGCCGGACGTCGGCACGGTCGACCTGAGGGCTGAGGCCGCCTTCGACTAGGGCTTCTCATGGAGTACATGGGTTGTAGGACATCTATTTCGTGCTTTGTTTGGCATTGATGTATTCTGCACCTGCTTCTCAGAATTAAGGCATTGCTTAGTTCTTTCTCTAAAGTTTAGTTCATATCCCATCGAATGTTTAACATATGTATGGAGTATTAAATATAGACTAAAAAAGTAATTAATTGTACATATTGTGACTATTTTATGAGACGAATTTTTTAAGCCTAATTAGTCCATGATTTGACAATGTGGTGCTACAGTAAACATGTGCTTACGACGGGTTAATTAGGCTTAATAAATTCGTCTCGCGGAGTACCGAGGACTTCTGTAATTTATTTTATTATTATTATCCGAACACTCCCATGTGACATCTCGATGTGACACCCGATGTGATACCCCTAAACTTTAGCCCCTAGATTTAAACAAGGCCTAATGCACCCACCACTGTACTATAGCGGAAGACGGTTTTTTTTTTGCCCTTAAGGGCATGTGCTCTGAGTACATCCACCTTTGGATTCGCACACACATCTCAATGCACAAGACTTTTTTTTTTTTTTTTGCTCTTAAAGGCATGTGCTCTGAACACATCCACCTTTGGATTCACATTGAGAAGCATCTCAATACAGATTGGATGTGCTCAGAGCACATTCCTTTAAAGGCACATTTGACTTTACCTACTATAGCTTGTCCCTATTATTAGAAGCAATATCAATCCGGTTCTTCAAAAAAAGAAAGCAGATTTCCTAAAAAAAGGGCTGGACCAAGTATGTACTGTGATCCTGTTAGCAGTACTAATAGATAGGATGAATCCGACCACGCTGGTGTCCAGAGTAGTGGGGACCCGATCCCTCCGTAGTTTTAGTTTTTTATTGATCTTTGTTTTTCTAAGGTTTGGTTTCTGGCATCATCGACAAGGTGGTGGCGACGATCACTACCGGAAACCTCAAATTTGTCGAGTGTTTTTATGTTTGCCGAGTGCATTCCCTCGGTCACTCGGCAAACAAATTCTTTGGCGAGTGTTGTGCTAAAAACACTCGGCAAAACAAAAACCCTTGGCAAATAGGAGGTTTGCCGAGTGTCAAAAAAAACACTCGGCAAAGAGGACGGTTTGCCGAGTGTCAAAAAAAAACACTCGGCAAAGATGAAAAACAAAAAAAAACACGCTGCATAAAAAATCCCCTCCCGTTCCCACCGTCCCCTCCCTCTCGCCACAGCTCGCTCCCTCCCCAGATCCCGCCGGCGGCCGGCCCCTCCCCTCCTCCCGCCGGTGGCCGGCCCCGCCCCTCCCTCTCCTTCCCCGGCTCCGCCCTCTCTTCCCCGGTGGCCAGCGCCTCCCTCTCCTTCCCCGCCGCCCCTCTCTTTCTCGGAACCGGCCACCGCGCCGCCCCCTCTCTCTCCCCAGATCCGGCCGCCGCGCCGCCCCTCCCCTCCGGATCCGGTCCCGCCGCCTCCCTCCCTCCCTCCCTCTCCTTCCCCGCCGCCTCCCTCCCGAATTTCCTTGGATCAGGCCGCCACGCCGCCCCTCCCCTCCGGATCCAGCCCCACCGCCTCCCACCACGCCCACCCACGACGCCCCACCGCGCTCCTCCCTGCGCCCCACCGTGCCATGGACGGCACGCGGGAGGCGCTCGGCGCGGTGGCCCGGCACAGCGACCCCAGGCGCGGCAGTGCTGGAACAGACGGGCCCTGGTGCGACAACCCCGGCGTGGCGGCGGCGCGTATCCAGTGGCGCGATGACCTCGATGAGGTAGGCCCTCCTCCTCCTAGATCTAGGGTTCCGGCGAGCTTTTCTCCTCTCTCTCCCAACTCCGATCCAGCACAGGGAGGACGGCGCAGGGAGGCCGACGGGACCGTGGGGAGGTGGCGCGGGGAGGACGGCGTGGCTGCGGGGAGGCGACATGGGTGGTGGTGGAGGTGGTGGCATGGATGGAGGCGGAGGCATGGGTGGCGGTGTAGGTTGTAATAGAACCGACCAATTATACGAAATTAAGTAAGAAAATCATCCGCCAGCGCAAACGATTTAACAAACTTAAGCCCGTATAACCCGGTAGTCCGTGAAATCGCGAAGGATTTCAAACCAACTCAAATACCAACCAAGATCGTAATAAGTTTAGCGGTCACCATCACATATTACATAAAAGTTCGCATCTCAGATACATCAGAGTTTAAACATAGTTATTACAAAACGAGTTCAAATAGAAGTAGCGGAAGCCATTTGTTCAAAACCACACACACTCACACGGAGTTCAAATACAGTACCAGCTAATGATCATCTCCAACAAAAGCATCAAACGAGACGTAAGGAATGACCATGCCCACGGTCCTAAGCATCACCCATCGCAGGATAAAGGCAGTTGATACAGTAGCCGTAAAACATCTGCCCATCTGCAACAAGTGGGAATAATACCCTGAGTACGAGAAGGTACTCAGCTAGACTTACCTGACATAACCGAAAATAAAGTGACACCAAGGATTATGAAGGCTTTATAGT